GCAGAGCCAGACCGAACTTCCCCGAACTCAAACCTTGTGGGCGGGACTAAGTTCTGACTGGCACCCAGGCTAATATTTACCTGATCTACCTCTGTAAAGGTAGGAAATTCACCCACTGCTTTAAACTTTAATTAATATTTTAAAGGTTATTTTGGAAGTTTTTATTGTTTTACAGGCAATAGAAATGTTTGATCAGATTAAAATATCTTCTGATCTTATAACTGATAATGTCAAAGAAATTTGTATTGGTCAAAATCGGAATCAGCATTTAAGGCTTTTTAAAGACTAATAACAGAAACCTGTAATCGGTGCAACCTTAACCCCGACATCCCACATCCTACGTCACCGGCCCGCTGCACTTCAGACCGCCTGCGCAAAGCAAAGCCTGCAGCCTCCGCTGTTCCTCCCATCACGCTTCGCACTGACTTCCTCGGAGCTAGAGGAGAGCATGTGCTATATCATAAAATTTATAGTAGCAAAACATGCAGAAATTAATGCTTAATTTAATTTGAAATATAAAAAAATCCCCATCAGCATCCAGCAGATGTGCAGCTTCTGCCCAAATAGTTTCTTTTGTTGTGGATTTTAGTAACAGGGATAACTGGGATCATACATGGTTTGTATGAACTATGTTTATTCTCTTCTTCCGAACTCAGCGTCTCTTCATCGATTCCTGCGATAAGAAGTTTCTTTTGACTGAATGTGATCCAACTTTTGAGCCTCTCGCTTTGGGTTGTCAAAAGTATCGATACACAAAAAAGTATCGATACTGAAACATTGTATCCAGATACAATACTCATTTTTAAAAGTATCGATACAGCCACCTAAAGTGCAGAATAGAGGAAAATGCACTTTCTGAACACTGTGTGATTGAATAATTCTGTGCATTTTTTGTAAGAAGTGCAGCTGCTGAGAATTATTTTTGTTTAACTGGTTTGGCTAGTGTCATTGTTATGTCTGCAAAGCATAGCCAAGGAAGGAACACTTCATTTTAATTTAGTACGTTTTTTATCAAGCTTGCTTAATATTATGCACAGCATACAACCTCAAAGTGTTATTCTTATTGTTTTTTTTATTTATTTCTTGTATTTTTTTAGTAATGAAAATATTTCTGTTGAATTTTAGAGTCTTTGTTTTTATCCTTGTGGTATCGAAAATGGTATCGAGTATCGAATATTTGACTTAGTATCGGTATCGAGTTGAAAAGTTTAGTATCGTGACTATAAAATAAATATTTTG